TATTTATTCATTTATTCATTTATTCATTTATTCATTTATTCATTCATTCATTCATTCATTCATTCATTCATTTAAAAAATCTCCTTTGTGAAATATTTGGTGAAAGTGTACAATGAATTGTCTACCAGACAGTCTGAAAAAGCAGCAGCGAAAGGCTATAATCTTTGTGCCTTGCCTGGGGTATTCCAGGGATGCGAGGTTCACGGTATTCCAGGGTGTTTTTCAGCTATTAAGCTGAAGATAGAATATTGTGCAAGAAGAAACTTGGGTTTTAACCTGAAGCACCGTTTGCGGTGCTTTGTGACCAGTGGACGCTTCTGTCAGAGGAAGGAGATGGTTTTCAGCAATTTCATTTGTGCAGTCCCTGTCACTGAAAATGACTGTTGCAGAGTGTAGGGGGACATTTTGGGGTGGTGGTGGTGGATTTCACGTGCCAGTACAGGGGGCTTCAATGGAACTCCTCCATCCCTCTCCCTACAAGAGTAGCTTCTGTTGAATCTTTCGGTCAGTGGAAGAGCATCAGGAAGTACTGGCACAAATCTGCATGTGCTTTTGTTTAGCTACTTCCTTAGTTTTTAACAGTTATTCCCTGATACCTAAAAGAATCAGCAATTAAGTGAGGGATACGTAATCCCAAAACTGATTGGTATACAATGCAAGAGGCAAACCTTGGCTAACAAAACTGTATATGTATGTGAAAGGTTTTAACAGAATTTAATATCTCATCTATTATTCACATATACAGAAAGTTTACAAAACTTTGTGAAAGGTAGGGAAATGGACTTTGATAGTTCCTTTAGATCTATAGAAATAAACTGAAGTCACGTTAGCATCCCCTCATCTACATCTGCACAAATAGGGCAATTCCTGACAACATGTTCACTCTGGTTTCAAAATACCACTTAAATTATATACACAGTGTGAAAGTTAAAACCTACTGAAATTAATGAAGTTTGCTAAGTAACGTGTCTGGTACTGAGATCTTCAAAGCCAGTTGTTCTTCCCTTTCCATTCATTCCTCTAGGTCAGCTGCTCACAGCAGGGTCTTGATTTGACTCCAATAATTGATAAAAACACAGTGCAGGCTCAGCTGGGTCCCTGCTTACATTCTCTGAAGAGAGAGAATTCCTGAAGTGAGTGGGGAGGAAATGTTTGCAGAATAAGAAGTAAACTTGAATTCAACTCCTGTGAATAAAATGGTTTATAGTTTTGGGATGATAGGGTACAGACAAAAAGACGCTAGGTAAAGATATTGAGGGAAGAATGCATGCTTTTGTTATTACTTCCTGAGCAGCTATAGCTTTCTCATTTCAAGGGAAGGGCAAATTCAAAGACCTTTGAAGAAATAAAGCACCAAATTAAGGTCTATGCCACTTCCACCAAATACACACTTTCCTAGTAAGGGAAATTCTTTGATGTTACGTGGATGCCTCATAAAACCTAATTATACTGATTCACACTCAGTTGGGATCATCATGTTTGCTATCCACAGTTTTAAGGAGTGGTAGTGTAAATATGTGAATAGAAAATGTATGTCTGTAAACAAAACGTGTCCAGTAGCACGAATCCACATTTAATTGAATGACTTTCAGCACGCAGAGGTCTGTATGGCCTTGCTTCAAACTTTACCTCTTCTTCGTATGTATTACCAGTCTATCCATGGCAGCCCCCTTGACCTATTATGTAAAGCTTTAATGAATCTGGAAAAGGAGAAAGAAAAAAGAAACCTAGTCAAAGGAAAAAAGAGGACCCCAACAGAGGCTAAAGCGTTTTGAGAACAACAAAAGCTATATTCCATATGGAAGCTTTCGTATTGCTTTTAGTGCTACTCTTATCTATATGGCAACAATTTCTGCTATCACGAAACAAGCAAGAGCGATTTTTTTTGTACAGTATATAAAATGCATTTAAAACCTGAAATATAAAGAGAGCCACTTGTGTGGAGGGCTTCTTTTTAAAATTAGCAGTTCTCCCTGCCTGTCCCATACAAATGTGAGCTTGTTCAAGGATATTTAGTAAGGAGACAATGCATTCTGCATATTCTCAAATTTGATCTCCAAATGACTCAAAATTAGTATTAAAGAGGTAAAACTTTTTAGGACACAGGCCAGGCAAGTCATGACTTAAATCGTGTGTTGTGTGTAAGATTTGGTACCGTCCCTGTTTTCAAACCTGTGGGAGTTGCTAGGAGAAGCACTTTCATCTGTGGTTCCCATGAGCATGCAGTCTCCCATTACCACTCCACAGCCAAATGGAGATCATGTAGGTCATTTGCACACTAAAATGTAGCTGATGAAAAATGAACCTGCTCGCTGGCAGTGGAGCAGGTGCAATCTTCAGAGGTTCCTTCCAACTAGTGTGTGCAAAAAATCCTACCTTACAGTGAGAAGTCACTAGAGATAATTGGGAGTACTATATTAGTAAGAGCAGGCTTCAAAACAGAGGTGGATGAAGATATCAAAACAGTGGCTCATCTTTTGCAATATGAAATTCCCAGCAGTTTTTTTCTCCACATTACATGTTTTCTTAGTGAATTAAAGGAAGAAGGACTTCTGCTCTTTTTCCCCCCTTGCCTCACCCCCAATCTTTTTGCTTCATCTTCTGTCTCTTAGAATTATATACACAGCTGTTGACCATATTTTAACGTATTGGGGAGTAATAATTAAAATCTGTGTAAGTTCCTACCCATGAGAAGGGTGACCACTACCTTTTTGTTTGATTTTCTGATCTCTCCGTGCCTCATGGAAATCCGTCTCTTCCTCACGTGGGTAATTACTTATACCTATGGATTAGGTGTGAACAGATCAACTAAATGATGCATAATGCGAATGCATAGCATAATTCCTCCTTCTACCACGTTTCTCCTCTTGGCTTGCCTTCTTACAGTCTTGCCTTCTTTGAGTCTAGGCACAGACTCAATGACCTGTAAAGAAATGCAGTAGTTGAGATTCTTTGGCACTGGATACTTTTTACCTTTACAAACACCATATGGAAACTTCCTGGGGTATATGGGGTATAAAGGCGGAAAAAAATGTTTTTCAGCTATTAAAAGTCAAAGTACAGAATTGGTCAAATAATGTTTGTTTCTTGAGTACAAACAAAGCACAGCTACGTATGTCACATCAGAATAATTGTTCACTTTACAGATGATAAATTGTGTAAAGCGAAGGCAGATATAGCAATTTGGCATTGTCATTATTTTTCAGTTGCTATTCTGGAATGTTAAAAAAGGAAGTATTTAAAAATTGACAGAGGCATTATTTGTGAGCATTCCAAACATGGAAAAACAAACAAACAAAACAAAACCCAAAATTGGATGGTAAGCAGGCAAAAACTGGGAATATGGCCAGACACAGAGGAATTAATCAGCCAAGAAGTTGCCAGCTAATACATTATAATAAATCAGACATATATACTACAGTGGACCCTTGACTTACAGACGGCTTGACTTACAGACTTTTATTATAATAAATCAGACATATATACTATACAGTAAATATGTCATTTATTTATCTGCTTTTTGAGGAAATATCACTCCATAGTCAGTGTATCAATCCTGTTTTTTTTAAATCAATGCCAGGATCCCCATATCTGTCACTAGGAGAAAACATACAGTAGACTTTCCCGATTTTACAGTTATTAATATCCTTCTAATATGAATTTTCTATTTTAACACATTTGTTTATCCTGTGCTAATTTTTCATTCCATCTGAATCTAAATAAAATTCTCATTTAATAAATAGAATTAAATTTAGAAATAAATATATATAAACGATGAAGCCTAAAGTGTGTAAATGGGGCAGATTTTATTTCTTGGAGGTGCTGGTGTAAATAAATATTTTAAAACCAGAACTGAGTCCAAATAAATGTATCAATTTAAATAAAATGATAGACACCCTTCATTCACAGTGATTTTATTGTGTAGGACACTTTATATATGCTGTGATCAGCTAATGGAATTGAGTGGAGTGGAAGGACAACAGATAAGAAAGCATTCTGTAGCAATCACAGCTGTTTTGGCTGCTCCAGGACATATTCTGCCAACCTGTCACCTCCTTCATTAGTTGTAGCTCCCTAATATTATTATTCCTAAAGGGATTTAAGAGCAATGTTAATGAGATTTAAGAGAAACTAACTTGCTTGACATATTTTTGGAATTGACATTTTGCATATTGATCATATATGATATTGTTATACTATACTTTGCTTTGGTCTGTTTGCTCAGTGAATGCCTAAACTTCTGTGAATTCTGACATTCATAAGACACAGTGGTGCCTCACATCGCCTCGTGGGATGAAAAACCCGCAAGACGATTGTTTTGTTATCCCTATGGTGCCTTGCAAGACATTTTTTTCTATGGCCGTGCTTCGCAGGACCTCCCCCCGAGACCGACCCCCGAGACCGATGCCTCACAAGACGCATAAAGTTCATTTGTCTTACGAGTTTCCCATAGGGAACCTCACAATTTTTTCCAAGACAGCGATTCTTGTGGAACGAATTATATTCATCTTGTGGGGCGCCACTGTAATGTGAAGAATTCCAGGTGAACATAAAGTTCATTTGTCTTACGAGTTTCTCATAGGGAACCTCACAATTTTTTTGCAAGACAGCGATTCTTGTGGAACAAATTATATTCATCTTGCGGGGTGCCACTGTAATGTGAAGAATTCCAGGTGAATTTTGCCAATGTTTCTAAATAAGACATGTGTTTCCTAGCTTGTTTGAGGTTTCTTTATGTGACGGTAATACCACATTTATGTGATTTTGTTAGTTGCCCAGTTTTTCAAATAATCACAATTTCTTGTCTGGAAAATAAAATAGTAACAAATTGAAACAATTCACTTTTATACTCATGCTTAAATATGCTCCTCAGCTAATTTGTTTTCTGTTGTATATCTAATAGTAAGTACTCATTTGTCAATTATTTAGGATTATACGGACAAAGGTACAGCAACCACCCAACCAGCAAGTCCCAGCCTCCAGTCACAGCATAGGTAAGGGGAACTTTTAAAAATACTTTTAAGGAAAAAAAATTATATGTATTTATTATATATAATGTAATTCACTCTAAAGAACTTTTAATCACTCCATGGGCAGATAATTCTGCATAGAACACTTCAGCCCACGTACTAATGCACCTTCTTTGTCATTCTCCAAGGGCTGAACATGGTAAATGAATTTTATAAATACTGCTAAAAGGTTTTGAATTTTACTGATTATTATGATAAATAGCTTTCACCGTGAGACAGAAAATTGAAATCTAACCACCCCCCAACAAAAAATCATCCCACTAATGGGGGTCTATAGAATGTCAGATAATTAAAGTAATAAATCAAGAAAGGGATAGTTATTCATAACATTTTCTGCATCATTAGTCAGTAAGTAGTTTTGAATGCGTTTTTTTCTTCTATCAACCAACCCTTCCATATTTCTTTGTACATTTGCAATTTTGAGTGAAGAGGTATCAAAACTTTGAAAACTTTTTTCTGCTTCCCTCCCACCTTTTGACTAATTCAGATGCATACCATCTAACTCCAGTCATTGAAAAGTGGCAGACTTTAAATCATTTTCTCTCTCTCTCTCTCTCTCTCTCTTTTTCTGGCGAAGTCTCTGACATAGTAGCACAACCTAGATTAAAATCCACCCAGTTAACTCAGACTATGCATGCAATATATTCTACTCATATTCTAGCTGGTGCAAGCCTGCTGAACCCAAAGAGAGAAATGAGAGAACATTGGCTTAGCTGGACTGTTGAGACAGGTTTCCATTGAAAATCCCAGCTTGATTTTAATTGTTTTTTTTCTTTCTTTATCAGAATATTTTTATATTCCTTCTGCAAAAATCTTCTGAAATTGATCCACTAAATTTTATTTGGATTTTCTAAGCATCTCTCTGTTTTCCTAGTGGCTATCTGGTGTTTTTAGATCACCATTTTCACTCCATCAAGTTTGGTTTGGACCTGTTTCAGTTCCAAGCATCCCAGTTTATGGATAGGGCTCTAGGGAAACAGTCCTCTGTCTCTTGGTCTGAAATATCCCTCTCTCTAGGATTTCAGTTACATTTTAGTGTCTTCGGTGAATTTCGCATGTGGAAAAGTCACTTCATTTGAATGCACTGTAGATAAATTACAGAGGGGAACTGTGGAAGGTGATTGATAGAGTAGATCTACCTCTTCCCATTTTCCCAACTGCAGTCCCCAGTTTCTCATTGAAAGCCTCTCTGCTGAGTTTGGAGGACCTAATAAACACTTTAGGAAGAGGCTTATGCATCTGACATGCAACTGGGGAATCAATTGAAACTCAGTTAGGGGAATCTTGTGCTAAGCTTGCAGGGTTGCATTCTTTCAGTGGTACATCCCTTCTACTGTAGCCCCATAAAAGATACTATACTCCCTTCTGAAGAGTTTGCTCTTTGGTGTGAGATTGCTGTTGTTCGTGCAACACTAGATTTCATCCAGTTCATTTTTCTGTGCTTGCGGGCTGTTGTGAAAACCATTTGAATGAGGTTAGAAATAAGGTCTTTGAAATACAGCTTCCAAAAATAAACAGCGCTGATAAGAAAAAGTACCCCAAATGTCACCAAAGGACAAGGGTGAAGAAACCCCCCATGTTGCAGCTTTTGTTGTGAAATCTTGTGAAATCAGAAGAGCTCCCTTGAATGTACCAAACACAACCAGGGTTACCATTTGGTAGAATTGAGGTACCCATCTCATGAATAGGTCCCTTCCTCTTGAAGGACAAGAGATATTTGGGTAATATTACTATCACACTTTTAGCCATAGTGTATTCGACTGTTTTAAAATGGGCATTTTTCAACGGAACTCTTTGGGTGGCTGGGAGGCATTAGAAGGTCAGGGAAACCATCTTAAAGGCAACATGTCAAATGTGATCCAAACATGAGTGTAAGGGATGCATATAGGTAAGAGGAGCAGGATAAAATTTTTGCAATGGTTATAATGACACTTCATACTTACTCAGCTGTTACAATAGATAAAGCAACAGGATAGACAGTAATATAGAATAGCATTGTAAAATATGTCAGAAAATGACAGCCAAGTGTTTAGCAAATGCTCCCAGACCCTAAACTCTCTCTATTTTAATCCTTTCCTCTCTTTCAAACCAGTTTTGTTGGAGATGTGTTGTAGATAGTGCTGTTTAAATACAAATATTCGAGATCGCAGTCATTGCAGCTCTTACTATAAATGCATTTTTCCCCCTTCTATTTGCGCCTGCACACACTCATTGATTGATTTCTAATTCCAGCTTCCACGGGGTCAGTGACACAGGTGTCGTCTGTAAGCACAGACTCAGCAGGCTCCTCCTACTCCATTAGTGGAATTCTGGGAATCACATCCCCAAGTGCTGAAAGCAACAAACGCAAAAGAGATGAAGGTAAAAGCATATCTATATATACTTTTAAATGTTTATATTATTATAAGCAAGAAATAATTTCATCCTCAGTTACCACTGCTGTATTTAATATGTCCCACTACAAAACTGTTCCCAACTAAGAGAAAAGTGGATTTTTTTTAAACGTGACAAGCTGAATGCTTTTTTTTTTTTAAAGAAAAGAAGGGCATTATCTAATATAACTATCAATTTCAAATTATATGCACAAAATAATCTACCAGGACAGTCTAAGACTAAGTCAAGTTATGAACAGAACAGTGAGATTTATTTATTCCCTTGGCTGCATTCAATTTGAAAGTCCCATTTATTACATTTCATCTGATGTTATGATTATTCAATTTTTAAGTTTAGTAGAGGGTAAGATGAGAAAGGGTGAGATAGCGATAGAATTTCATACCTAAAAAGACTGGGGTCTGGTAATTTCCAAAACACTTGTTGCAAGGTTGTCTTAATAACAGAACTGGGCAATGCCTCTGACTGTTTTTGCATGATCAGTTTGACAGAGAATGGATTTATACAATCTTTTTTTAAAAGTATGCTTCTTATTTTGTAGTTTTCCAAATGATTTAAAACCATATATTTCACCTGAGATAGGCTTTAATTGAGACACAGTGTGAACATGTGATTTATACTGACTTACTTTTACCAAACCAGGTTTTTGGATACTTCAGTCCAAGCTCATTCATAGTGGCATCACCCATCCTTGTCCAAGCCACTTTTTGAAGATATTTCAGAATGTATTGCACACTGAATGCTCATTTGTTTACAAAAATGGGTTGGTATATGTAGGATTTAAAGGATTTAATCTATAAATTAAATCCTTTCGATTGATCATTTGTAGATGAATCAACCGAGTTTTGGTTAATTTCATCTATTCAGTGAATTTTAAAGAGCAAGGATTTTTTTAATCACTGGGACTATGGAACATATGAATCTATTTGGGGTGCCATGCAAAAATAAGGAATTTAAAAAGGAGTGGTAGTTGTCCAAAGGAGGAGTTTAATCACCTACTTTATGTCTCCACCTTTTTTTTACCACCACCATCTGCTTGGAATTGCTCCTTATTCATAAAGGAAGCAGATCAGTGCAGGCTGTAGCATTCCTCTGGAGAAAATAACCAGCCAACCTCCAAATGTCCACTAGCCAGTACTTAGGTTTTCTTCCCTTCCCTTCATGAACAGTTTGCATAACATGTGGGGGTCAAATGGTTTCCATAATGCGGAGGAATCTTTTAAACCCTGAAGACATAAAGGAGAAATTGATGTAGCTTAATATTCTAATTGATATAACCTCATTAAATCAGAAATAACATAGGGTAGGAGAAGAAAATTAGTGAGTATGCACAATGCGAAGCAAGGAAGCAAATCTTAACCATCAAGACTGATCTTAAATCATACCCTTCCAAGCTAGGACATCAGCTAGTGTTACATGCTTCCTGACATTCCATTGAGTTTCCCCTGTTGATCAAGAGGACAGGGATTCAAAAAGGGCATTTTGCTAGGTCCTATGCTAATTATTTTCAGGTGACTTTGACTGGTAGCAGCTATCATCCTCAATCAATGGGCAGAAATTCATACAGGCAGGAGATGCCTAGGGAAAAAGGCAGTTAGTGTCAATGATTTACCCTAAGGAAGTGAGAAGGAAAGAAGGACGGATTAACCAATCTTTTCCTGCTAGATTTATTTGTATATCTAAGGGACAGTGGGATGGGATATGACTGGGTGTATTGAACCAAATGGAGGCTGTCATTCCAGGTACTCTAGGGAAACTTAATACATTAGGCTTGGTGGATTTTAGCCTGCTGTTCGACTAGGTTTTGTGAAGAATTATTTACTCTTCCTTTAACGTTAAAAAAGTACCTATAGTGAGATTTTGATTGTAAACAACATTTTAGAAACCATATCAGTTAATTGACCAGTGAACAGGCAGTTGCTTAGTATCCTCTGATTCTAACACAATAGACGAATGTGCGCAATTTGATGAAAAATCAACTTCAGCTTCAGTACATTAAAGAATGTGTGGGACGAGGTTAAAATGAACACTGATTATTGTAAAAGAAGTAAGCAATGGTTTTGAAAATAAAAGCTTCAGCTGTCAAAAGCAGTCACAGTGATGATCTGGTGATTCCCCACAGAAATGAAATCTCTGGTGCATGTCTATGGAAATGGCCTCTTGGCTGAAAGAAAGGAGAAACTTGTTTGCAATGTAAACAATGTTTATTCAGCATTGTTTAAGGCTGTTTTGGATCACCACTCCCAGAATCCCCACTGGTCACTGGCTGTGCTTGCTGGGGGATGCAGGCAGTTGTAATCCCCCCCTCAAAAAAACCCAATAAGCATAACTTTCCTCATCTTTGCAGCTCTGAGGTGACTTGTGATAGAGCAGGGGGACTGTCTGTTTAATTTTGGGATGCGGTGCCTTCCTATTTGAGCCACTCCTGGACATATTTTACTTTTAACACACTTTGCTACACCCTGCTCATCAGTTCCTGTATGTATGAAGGGGCTGGTTGCATGTGTAAATGAAATCTAATGCCACTGACAGAACACACAGATTTTTAAAGTGGCTATAGGTCACCAGTTCAGCCCTGTGTCATAAGGTGTTCAACAATCTTGTTATGTACACAAACTCTTCCTTAAGTGGGTCAAAATATTGAGTTAGAAGTAATTTAATCATAATATGTTTTGACTTTCTCTAATTAAATCAATCTTAAATCACTACTTCTGCCAATATAATACTAATGTTTAACATCTCAGAGCATTTTTTTGAACTTGTGGACTTTTTGAATGTGTGAACAAAGTGCTTCACAAAAATTGTCGCAGTGATTCTTTCAACAATCCTCTAACATTAGTCAGTATCTTCCCATTAGAATTTGGAGAAGGAAACTATGCAGTATTCAATGACGTTTACTTCTAGAAAAAATGTTCATAAGACTGCAGTTGCTCTATAGAGCAAACCTATAGAATCATACCTTGGAATAAATACCACTGGATATAGTGGGAATACTTCTGAGTAGACATGCAGAAGATTCCATTGTTAGGATTTTTTTAACCATATAAATGGAGTCTGTTACGTAAATGCCTGTATTTAGACTGCATTAGAATGCCTCTTCATTCTTCTTAAATGGTATTGCTATGTGCCATCAAGTATTTTCTGATGTATGGTGATCCTATGAATTAATGACCTTCAAAAAGTCCTGTCATTAATAACTCTACTAAGGTCTTTCAAACTAAGGTTTCTTAAGTTAGATTGCAATGGCATAACCATTACGTAGGAGTACACCTCACTGAAGTTTGAGGAAATTTTTGAGGTAGACATATAAAGGACTGTGCTGTCATCAACTTTAAACCCTACTTTATAAGGATGCAATTACAGAGTGTCAGAAGACACCCTCATTTTAATCAATCAGTTGTGGTTACAAGCACAAAAATTGCTAAATTTTCCATATATATTATCTTGCTGAGCAAGTGAAAGTCAAATTTTTGGGGGGGAAATGGGTTTACAATGTCCCAAATCCAACCCAATCCCACAGTCTATGGAATCAAGACTGCAAGAGCAGGATAACTAACATGAGAAAGATCTTCCATGTAGGGACATGGCAGAAGTTATTGTGTGGGGAGGCATGGCATGTGCCCTATGTGGGTTCAAAGGGGAAATCCAGTGAGAGTTCAGACATCTGTCCTGAGAATCTCATCTCCCCAAGATGAGCTGCATCCACGAACAAAGACTCCAACCCACCTACAAATTCTGAGTCACTTGTCTCATCCCGAAAAGATTTCCCATGTTCACCAAAGCTATGACCAAGGCTGGAACATGTGGGTCTTCCTCTTTCTCCCTCTTCTGGAAGGCAGATTGTTTAAGAAGGAGCGCTCAGGGAGCCTACCTGCAATTGTTGCTTCTCAACGTTGGCCACCTTCAGCAAAGAGGTGAGGAAGCATTGGGTAGGAAGTCAGTGGAAATGGCAGCAGGGGAAACTTTGTAACTACCAGTGCTGCTGCTCAGATCTTTCTCCAGTGCAACAGCGTAAGTTCCAATTTAAGCTTAAGAAATAGATTTGCACTTAATGCCCATTTATATTTGCGTAAAGGAAATCTTGTTTGTTTTGACAGAAATTACGGCTCATTCATGAGGTGCTGGTCACATTCCTGTATGTATGCCCCATCATGCACTTGAAGGCTTACCCAGGAATGCAACCGTCTTGCTAATCAGCAGCCATTTGCCACCAAGACTTATATAGTTTCCCTTATGTGCATTATGTGCCATCAAGTTGGAACCAACTTATAGTGACCCTAAGAGGGCGTTGAATGTCAGTGAGATATTTAAGGAATGGTTTTACCAGTTCTTCCCCCACCCAATGAGTTAGCATGACCAAGTATGGATTCAAACCCAGGAGTTCTAAGTCCTAATTCCTTACTATATCCATTACAGCACCCTGGGTATCAGTGACAATACTGTGGCTAATAAATAGTTTAATTTTTAAATGACATTTAAATGGAGTTGCCTTGCCAATGCCTCCAGAATAAAATGTTGGCCAATATCAAGGCCTATGTCTCGGCTTATGTCAAGTGGTTACTTTACATCTCTGTTTTCATCCTACATAAGAAAGATCAGAGTTACAATTTAAGAAGGCGATTGAGCCACCATGGAAGCCTTTACAGTGGCTGTAGAAGGACCAGAAAGCGGGAATCAGAGTAGATCACCCTTTTTGAGGCCAGAGATTCTCTAAGGACTCAGAGGGGGGATTCCTCTTTTCTTTTCTTTTCTTTTTTCTTTTCTATTTTGTCTGACCTATGAAACCATAGGATTATGTAAGTGTGCACGTCTCTTGTTAGGGTTCTCTCTCTGTTCTTCTCTTTTGATCAGAACTCTAGGGATATGCTTAAAATGCTTACATTGAACATGTCTGCAGTTGCCTGTTTGTGATACTGATTTGAGCCACTCAGGAAAATTGAGATGAATTTTCCAATGAGAATCATCATTAT